GTCGATGTATGCATAGTGCCCGCCGCAATTGAGAACGCGATACTGAAAGTGCGAGAATTCGTTTCTTCTAAATCTAATCAAGGACGAACTCACATCTGAGTTGAGTAATTGTACGCTATACATAAAGATCCCCCGTATAGCCTGCACAGACTTTCGGGGCAAGTGCGGAACGGCGCGCGAGGCGACGCTGTGGCCAGAACCACGGCCGGCCGCCTTTGTCTCCCTAGTGGCGGTGTTTTTACACACCGCACCGGGTACTTATTTGAGGCTGAGTCGACCTAGGGGAGGCCCAGGACCGGTTCAGATAGTCGTCGCCACTGGTGTTGGCCGTGAGCGAGAATCGAGCATGGGTTTCGTAGCGTAGTGCGCTTACAACGGAACTACCACCACCCCTGCCCCAATTATAGATATATATGTACACACAAATATAACCCCCCACCCCCACCCCACCCCGGAATATCCTTAACAGACTGTGGCGGCAAGTGTTGTGAGCGAGCGCCTGTATGCAAACACAAACACACAAACGCACAAACACACAAACGCACAAACGCACAAACACACAAACAAACACATAAACGCACAAACGCACAAACACACAAACGCATAAATGCACAAACACACAAACGCACAAATGCACAAACACACAAACAAACGCACAAACAAACAAACACACAAACGCACAAACACACAAACGCACAAACGCACAAACACACAAACGCATAAATGCACAAACACACAAACGCACAAATGCACAAACACACAAACAAACGCACAAACGCACAAACAAACAAACACACAAACGCACAAACACACAAACACACAAACGCACAAACGCACAAACGCACAAACACACAAACACACGCGCGGCTAAAAAACCAAAAAACAATCGGTGTGGCCGACGACTAAAGAAGTGGGCATCGATAACGCGACGAGGTAAGTGGAACGTCACCAGCGTGACACATACGTGTTGGCGGTGACCCTTCACGTTTCGTGCCTTCGCAGAGGCATCAATGTAACCGCATGTCCACAACCCCCCCGCGTGCTTTCGAACGAACCAACGCGCGCGTGCGTGCGCGCGCGGCTAGCCAACGTGCATGCTGTGAGTACAATGCAATTGTACCATTTGGGTTTTTATTTTTTTGTTTACGAAAGCCAGCGCTTAAATTGTACAGTGTACAAGCATACAATTGTCACATACCGCGCACGCACATGCACACACGCACGCACGCGCGCACGAATCGTTCCGATGGTGGATTTTCACGTTCCGTTCTACGCTACTGTCTTTAGGCGATGCGGCAATAAATGCGAAGAACCTCCCGCCCCCCCGCCCCCCCCCCCCCCCCGTGTGTTCTTGACAAACTTTTGGGGCAAGTGCTGTTAGTGAGCGTCTGTAACGGTCGGAACGATATACGAGGGGGAGCGGTGGCATTCACCACGCCCGGCCGCCTTTGTCTCCCCCAGTGGCGATATTTACACACCGAACCAGATACTTATTTGAGGCTGAGTCGATCTAGGGGAGGCCCATGATCGGTTCAGATAATAATCGTCGCTGGTGTTGGCCGTGAGCGGGAATGGGAACCTCGGGTCGCCGGATTCGTAGATAACGGAGCGCGCTTAACCGCTACACTACCGCTCGCCATTAATAACAAACAAAGACTAAGATCCCCCGTATAGGCTTAACAGACTGTTGGGGCAAGTGCTGTTCGCGAGCATCTACTCAGGCCGACCACGGCGTACGAGCAGGGTCGGGTGGCCAGCACCACGCCCAGCCACTAATGTCGCCTTCATTTCTGATGATGCGCACCCCACACAAAGACAAAGACTACGATCCGACGTTTCGCCTGAACAGGCTAGAGGGCCAAGTGCTGTTAGCGAGCACCTATGAAGGCCGGCACGGCACACGAGGGGGTGGGTGGCCAACACCACACCCGGCCGCCTTTGTCTCCTCAGTGGCGATGTTTACACATCGCACCAGGTACTCATTTTAGGCTGAGTCGACATAGGGGAGGACCAGGACCGGTTCAGAAAATCGTCACTGGTGTTGGCCGTGAGCGGGAATCAAACTCGGGTTGCCGGGTTCGCAGCACAGCGCGCTAACCGCTACACCACCGCTCCCCACACACACACACAAGCACGCACGTACCACACCATGTACGACTAATTTGAGGCTGAGCCAATCTAGGGGAATGCCAACCCCCTCCCACAACCAACAATAAACATAATCAGATACCGCTTGCCACCGCACCCGTGATGTCCGCCGGCCGGCCATCGAAGTCAGGTTTTGGTCGGGATTAATGCAATCGCAGTGCGCCAACCTCTGCGCCACCACTCCCCGACACAAGACGCGCACACGCGCACACGCGCGCGCGCGAGCACACGTCCAATGCGCAAACAAGCTCGTACACATACCACGCACGTACGCAGACACGCGTGCCTGTGTGTGCGTACATATGGGGAGCGGCGGTGCAGCGGTTAGCGCGCCGCGCTACGAAACCCGACGCGCCGAGTTCGATTCCCGCTCACAACAGTGACGATCGTCTGAACAGGGTTACCCGAGCCTCACCTAGGTCGACTCAGCCTCAAACGAGTACCTGCTGCGGTGGTGTGAACATCGCCACTGTGGAGACAAAGGCGGCCGGGCACGGTGCTGTCCAACCACCCGTTCACCCCCCTCCACCCCACTCGCGTATCGTTCCGGCCTTCATAGGTGCTCGCTAACAACACTTGCCCGCCTCCCCCCAAAAGGTCTGATAAAAGCCTACACGGGTGTTCTTTGTCTTTGTGTACGTATATATATATACACGTGCGTACGTGCATACACGAGGGCATCATTACGCGGTCGGGTCGCCGATCGCGCTCACCATTGGTCGCGCGCGCGCGTTGCGCGAGGTGTCACGTGCTTTGTATCATCGAGCAGCAATAAGAGCTCGCCTCTCAGGGAATTGATCGCACATCAGTGCGTCACGCGGCTCGCGGACGGAGAGGGAGCGAGCGAGCGAGAGAGAGAGAGAGGAGACGCACACACACACACGGGGGGTGGAGGGGGGAGGCTATCAGCTTTAACCCTGGCCAAGCAGCCACCATCACCACCACCATCATCACGACCACCACCCAACCGCCGTCTCCAATTCTCTGCGCGCTCTCTCTCTTCTCAGCTCGCCTCTGTCTCTCTCTCTCTGTCTGTCTCTCTCTCTCGAGCGTGCAGTCCCACCGCTCTCGTTCATTATCACAGCGAGCAAAAGCAAAGCAAGAATATTTTTTTGTTGAATAACAATTATTATTATTATAAGAAGAATTGTAACGTAGCGAATAACGGTAGTCCAGTAGCAGCAGCAGCAGCAACCCTGGCGGTTATCGATGCGCTAAAGTGGTCGTAGTCGTAACAACAGTTTGTTTCTCGGGGGTGGTGGTGGTGGTGTTGGTGGTGGTGGGCAGGGCATTCATTTCGGCCGAGTAAAAGTGCACGATTTGGGTCGTGGTGACTGGCGTGCCGGGTCTGCTTCGCCTCGCGGTGGGGTGGGGGCCCCGCGAGTCGGTGGGGGTGCTGTTCCCGCTGTCCCCGCTGCTCGTGAGTGAACGCCCGAGAAGCGTGGAATGAATTCGCGGCGAACTGCCTGAACTGGAACGCGCGCCGCGGGCTTACACGCCACGACGATGAGATTCGCCTCCTCTTCCTCCTCCTCCGCCTCCTCCTCCCCGTAATCGCGCATCGCGGTTGGGGCAGAGCCATCCCATCGAGAAGGATTCTCTCTCTCTCTCTCTCCTTCACCCCTCCGCTGCCGCGTCCTTCTCTCCCAGCGAAGACGCCGCCGCCGCTGCTGCTGCCACCGCTATCGCCGCCATAGCGGCAGCAACAGCAGCATTAGCAGCAACATTAGCAGCAACATCATCAGCAGCAGCAGCAGCAACAGCAGCAACAGCAGCAGCATCAGCACCAAGAACGGAACCCCACATCGGCACAAGCTGCCATCTCCGCCGCGGCGGCGACGGCGGCACCCGTGGCAAGTCGCTGCGTCTCTCTGCCATCCTCACGTTGCAGCATCAACATCTGCTGCTGCTGTTGCTGCTGTTGCGGTGTTGGTGGTGGCCGCTGCTGATTTGCGTCTGCTCCTGCCGCTGATTGTTGTGGGTCGTCGGTGAGGCGGGCGAGAGAGCGAGAGAGCGAGCGGGCGGGCGAGCAAGCGGGGAGATCGGGCAGGGCGCGGGCAGACAACAGCGGGGGAAGAGACGCGGACCGAGGCGAAGGATCGCACGGCGAGAGCGAGAGAGCGAGGAGCGAGAGAGAGAGAGGAGGGATACAAAGTGTAACCAGTGGCGACAGGGGAAGGCTGTAGCGAGGGGGGAGGTGGAGGGGTGGAGGAGGCGGGGGCCGGTGGAGGAGGAGGGAGTCCTGCTCCTCCTGACTCCCGCCTGGCGCGCAGCTACTAGAGGAGCGACCCCCATGGATAACGGCGTGAGCGCGGAAGACAATCGCACCCGGGACCCCGACTCCCGTGTCTCAAGCTCCTCTTCATCCTCCTCCTCCTCCTCCTCGTCGTCATCATCGTCGCCACCACCACCACCACTACCGCCGCCGCCGCCACCACCACCACCACCGCCGGCTTCACCACCCTTGGAGATCGCCGCTGCTGCCGCCCATCAGCCGATTGCTCCTCCTGCAGCCGCTGCCGCCGTAGTCGCAGCAGCAGCAGCCGCAGCAGCAGCAGCAGCAGCAGCAGCAGCAGCAGCCGGCCCCCCTCATGCCGTGCCCCCCCCAAGCCGGCTCACCAACTTCTTCATCGAGAACATCCTGAGGCCGGACTTTGGGCGGCGCAAAGAGCCCGGAGGAGGAGGAGGCGGCCGCGCGCTGCTCCTGCCGCCGAGGCCGCTGTCTGTGAGCAGGCGGGGCGAGGCGAACCTCGGAGGTGGTGGTGGTGGTGGTGGTGGAGGTGGTGGTGGTGGAGCAGGAGGAGGAGACAGCGCTTCGTCCAGCAGTCGCTCTCCCGAGAGGACTCGGCGCAATGGCGACCACGCGGACGAACGCGCTCACGACGGCGATGACGGCGACGGCGATGACGAGGATGAAGACGACGACGTTCTTAGCGTCGGTGGTGGTGGTGGAGGTGGTGGAGGAGGAAGCAGTCGAGGAAGAAACGCAATCATCATCCGCGAGCTCGGGCAAGGAGGCGGTGGTGGCGGCGGTGGTGGCGGCGGCGGCGCTTTCAGTTTGGACGGACAGACGAATCCCTGCAGCGGCCGCTTGCACCGCAAGGGGCTGGGAGGCTTGGCCAAGTCTCGAGCGAAGCCCGGAGCCAAGACGGACGGAGGAGCGACAGCGGAGAGCGCGCTGGAAATGGGGACCCTTCCCAACGCGGGCGGGCTGGGGGCAGCAGCAGGAGCAGCAGCAGCAGGAGGAGCATCAGGCAGTCCCGGAGTTGATCTGGCTTTGCAGCAGCAGCAGCAGCAGCAGCAAGCGATGGCGTGGCCTGCGTGGGTTTATTGTACCCGCTACTCGGATCGCCCCTCGTCCGGTAAGGACAGCGAGCCGGGGTTCAGTACCCGCGCGCGCGTGTGTGTGTCGTCTCGTCGTGCGCGTGTGTGTGTGTCGTCTCGTCATGCGTGTGTGTGTGTGTTAATGTGAACTTGTGTTCCAATGTGTGTGACCTCTCTTCCCCCCCCTCCACCCTACCTCGTGTGCCGTGCCGGTCTTCATAGGTGCTCGCTAACAGCACTTGCTCCTAAAGTCTAATAAGGCTATAGGGGAGATCTTTGTTTGTGGGTGTGCGAACGTGTGTGTGAAGGTGTGTTTCAATGTGTGTGCATGTGTTTGTGTGTATGGACGTGTGTTTGTATGTATGTACGTGTGAACGTGTGTGTGTGTGTGCGTGCACGTGTGTTTGTGTGTGTTAACGTGAGTTTCAATGGGTGTGCGTGCGTGAACGCGTGCGCGTGTTTCTGTACGCGCGTGAAAGTGCTTTAAATGTGTTTGCGTGTGTATTTGTGTGTTTGCGTGAACGCATTTGTGTGTGTACGTGTTTCAATGTGTGTGTGCGACTGTGCGTGTGTGAACGTGAGTGTGAGCATGTGTTTGTTTCGTGTGTGCTTGTGTGTCCGTGGGCTCGGAGCAGTGGTATAGTGGTTAGCGCCCTGGACTACGAACCTGGCTCGGTACTGGGCTTCCCCTAGGTCGACTCAGCCTAAACTAAGTACCGAGGGCGATGTGTAAACATCGCCACTGGGGAGACAAAAGCGGTCGGGCGTGGTGCTGGCCACCTACACCCACTTCGTGTGCAGTGCCGGCCTTTATAGGTGCTCGCTAACAGCACTTGTCCCAAAAGTATGTTCAGACTATACGGGATATCTTTGTTTTGTCCATGTGTGTGTGTGTGTGTGTCCGTGAAAATGTTTTGTATGTTAGGGTTCGCGTGTGAAAGTTCATCGGTGGGGTGTTCATCTCCACGTGCACGAACTTGTGTTTGCGTGTGAGAATGTTGGTGTGTGTTTGTGTGAAAGTGTGTTGGTGTGTGTTTGTGCGAAAGTGTGTTGGTGTGTGTTTGTGCGTGTGTTCATTGTGTGGCCTCAACGTGCACATAGCCTGGCACAAGCGCCGTGGTGACGTCTCCGCCACTTAGTGTCGAATGGCGGTTGTTATTGTTGTTATTGTGTGATGTTTGCAGTTTTTTTTTAATGCGTGTGTGTGTGAGAACGTGTTTTTGAATTAGCGCCCGTGTGTTACCGGTATGTTAGCGGGTTATTTTCCGATGTGTGTTTGAATGCACGTTTGCGTGTGTTGGTGTTTGTGTGTACGGTTTGCGCGAATGTGTGTTTGAATGCGTGTGTGTGTATGTTGACGTGTGTGTGTGTTTGTGTTAGTTTGTTTTGCGTGTGTTTGTCTTTGTGCATGTGCGTGTTGTGTGCTCGCTAAACAGCAATTGCCCCACAAGTATGTTCAGGCGAAATTGGGGATATTTGCATTTGATATGTGTGTGTGTGTATGTGTGTGTACGCATGCGTGTTTGTGAGTTTGTGTGTTGGTGCATTTTGTGTGTGTTGTCTTTGTGCACGTGTGTGCGCGTTTAAAAAACATGTACACTTGTGTCTACGTGTGTGTATTTGCGAGTGTGTGAACGTGCGTGTTGATGTTGGTGCGTGTTTGCATTTGAATGTGTGTATGATGATGATGATACTGTGTCTGTGTGTGCGCTCGTGTGTTTTCGAATGTAATTATGTTTCACGAATGTATTCGTGTATCAGAGTGAATGTGTGTTTGTATGTACTGTATGTGTATTGGTGTGTGGTGCTGACCACCCACCCCCTCGTGTGCCGTGCCGGCCTTCATAGGTGCTCGCTAACAGCACTTGCCCCAACAGTCTGTTAAGGCTATACGGGGATCTTTGCCTTTGTGTGTGTGTGTTGGTGTGATGGGTTTTGTCTGTGTATTGGTGTGTGTTGTGTTTTGTGTGTGCATGCGTTTGTGTGCATTTGTGTGTATGTATATATGTGTGTTAGGCATATGTTTATTGATGTGTGTGTTTGTAGGGTCAAGTTTTTGTGTCTGTAATGCGTTTGCGTGGAGGGCGTCGTGTTTCCGTGTGTCTGTGCACATTTGTACGTGCGTGTGAGTGTGTTTCTGTATGCATGCATGTATGTATTGTGTGAGTCTGTACGTATGAGTGTGCATATGCGTTTCATGTAAGTGTTAGCGTGCGTGGGGAGCGGTGGCGCAGTGATTAGCGCGCTGCACTACCGCGCCCGGCGACACGAGTTCGATTTCCGCTCACGGCCAACACCGTCACTGGGGAGACAAAGGCGGCCGGGCGTGGTGTTGGCCACCCACCCCCTCGTGTGCCGTGCCGGTCTTCATAGGTGTTCGCAAACAGCACTTGCCCCTAGCAGTCTGTTAAGGGTGTACGGGGGATCTTTGTCTTAGTTATTGTGAGTGTGTCTGTGTGATTGTGTGCGTGTACCCTATGTATGTGTGTATGGTTGGGTACGTAACTCCCGAAATGTTGCGTATGATTGAAAGTGTGCGTGCTTGCGCGAGTGTGTTTGTGTGTACGTATGTCTGTTGGTGTTTGTGTGTTTGTGTGTGTTAGTGTTGTTGTGTGGGGAGCGGTGGTGTAGCGGTTAGCGCTACGCTGCGCTACGAACCCGGCGACCCGGGTTTGCGATTCCTTCTCACGGCAAACACCGGTGGTGACGATTATCGAAACCGGTCCTGGGCCTCCCCTAGGTCGACCCAGCCTCAAATGAGTACCCGGTGCGATGTGTAAACATTGCCACGAGTGAGACAAAGGCGGCCGGGTGTGGTGTTGGCCACCCACCCCCTCGTGTGCCGTGCCGGTCTTCATAGGTGCTCGCTAACAGCACTTGCCCCAACATTCTGCTACAGGCTACACGGGGGATCTTTGTCTTTTGTGTATGTTGTGTTTGTATCTCCGTGTGTTTGCACGCGTGGGTGGGTGCGTATGAATTGGCCTGTGCATTCGCGTGTGAGTGTGTTGTTGAGTGTGTTATTGTGTATGTACGTGTGTTTGTACGTGTGTGTGTATGTACGTGTGTATGTGCGCGCGCGCCGCGTTGGCCCTTCATGGGTGCTGCTCGCAGACAGCACTTGCCCCAAAAGTCCGTGCAGGCTATACGGGGGATCTTTGTTTGTTTGATGTGCGCGTGTTTATTTTTTGTTAACGTGTTTGGGTGAGCGGTGGCGCAGTGGTTAGCGCGGCGCGCTACGACCCGGGCAAGCCGACTTTATTATTCGCGGCTATCATCGATGACAAGTGACATCAGAACCAACGTTAGAAGAAGCTTCCCCAGGTCGACTCAGCCTTAAAGTAGTTCCCCGGTGCGGTGTTGCAAACATCAGCGTTTGGGAAGACAAAGGCGGCCAAGGCGTGGTTCTCGTCACACTGCTGCCCGAATGGCCTCAAAATCCGCTCACTCACGGCGCTTACAGACAACAGTGCGGCAAAGTCTACACGGGGCGGGGGGGGGGGTGATTTGTGCAACGTGCAGCGCTTGCCAGCACGTTGTGTGTCCAGGTCGACTCAGCCGTAAAATGAGTAAGCTGGCGGAGTGCGTAAACACCGCGACTGGGGAGACAAAGGCGGCCAAGAGTGGTGCTGACCACCCCTAAGGCACTCGGGTGACGTCTCGGGCCTTCGTTAGGTGCTACTCGCGATCAGCACTTGCCCCTCCAGCCTGTTATGTCTATACGGGGGATCTTTGTCTTAGCTTTGTTTACGTGTTGTACGTGTTTATATTCGTGTGTGTGTGTGTGTGGAAGAACAACAAAGTGTGTATGCATGAGAGTGTCAACTGCGGACACGCGTACGCACACACACGCGTGACTTTACCACGTGCACCGTAGATTATATGTTGCGCGCGCGTGCGTGTGTGTGCGTTGGAGGTAAATGTTCTGCTAGCGAGTGCCTATTTCGGTGTGCGTACGACAAACCACGCGTGTCGAACTTCTTCCGCACCGTACGTGGCCGATTGTGCTACGAGTGATAATTCATCAGCGATCATTTACAACCGCGTCGCTCGCTCGTGGGGGTCGTTTGGCCATACTTCGCCACTGGTGGTCACGGCGAGTTGGTGCGCGGTTTGTGAGAGATGGCTCACTGCCGTGATCATTTGCGGGCCGGAATAGAACCCATCGTTGCGCGCCCGCACAACCACTGCGCCACCGCTCGCTCAATCCACGCACACGTACATACGTGTACGTACACACGATACCACGACGGGCGAAATTATTTTAAAACACACGACATACGAAAAAATAAAAAATAAATATTTTACTGTTGAACGCGTAGGCTTTCGCGACCAATATTATGAATCATCAATGTTTTTGGGTTTAGATCGCGTTATTTATAAATGTGTCGTAACCCTCCACCACCCGACACGGCCAATCAGTAAAAAACGTGTCACGTTGACAAAAGACAAATAGTTCACTGCTTTAGCCCACCGGTGTGTTGAAGCGTGAAACCACAACATTTACAATTTGAGTACGACGTTTCGCTGGTAATTGCATCCAGCATCATCGGGCAATTCGCCAGATGAAATTGAGTACCTCGACGTTTCGGCCAACTGGCCTTTGGTCGCAATCACAAGGCGCATCGTGAATGTGTTTATAGCACGTGGACAGCGAAACGCACGCGCATAAGTTCACACAAAGACGAAGATCCCCCGTAGAAGCTTCACAGACTTTTGGGGCACCTAATGAAGGCCGACACGGCACACAAGGGGAGTGTGGCGATCAGCACCACGCCAGGCCTTCTGTGTCGCCCTCGTGGCGATGCGATGCCTTAGACATCGCCGCAAGACTCATTTGAGGCTGAGTCGACCTAGGGGGAAAGATCGGGACCGGTTCAGATAATCGCCACTGGCGTCGGTGGCTGTGAGCGCGAATCGAACTCAGGTTCGC